GACAACAGTGAGAGGGCGAAGGGTGAGGGGGGTGAGGGGGGGTGAGAGGGAGGGTGAGGGGTGAGGGGGGTGAGAGGGGAGGGCGAAGGAGGGTGGCAAGTGAGAGGGTGAGGGGTGAGGAGGAGGGTGAGGGGTGAGGGGGTGAGGGGTGAGGGGGGGGGTGAGGGGTGAGGGGCAGGGAGGCGAAGAAGGGTAAGGGGGGGTGAGAGGGTGAGGGGGGTGGGAGAGGAAAGCAAAAAGGAGGGTATGGGGGTGAGAGGGTGAGGGGTGGTGAGGGGAGGGCGAAGGAGGGTGGCAAGTGAGGAGGGTGAGGGGTGAGGGGGTGAGAGGAGGCGAAGGAGGGTGGCAAGGGGGTGAGAGAGGGGTGAGGGGGTGAGGGGGGTAGAGGAGGCTGGGGCTGATGGGGTAAGGGGTGAGAGGGTGAGGGGTGAGGGGGGTGAGGAGGGGAGGCTGAAGAAGGGTAAGGGGGTGAGGGGAGGGGTGAGGGGGTGAGAGGGGAGGGCAAAGGAGGGTAAGGGGGTGAGGGTGAGGGTGAGGGGGGGTGAGAGGGGAGGGCTAAGCAGGTGGCAAGTGAGGGGATGAGAGGGGAGGGCGAAGGAGGTGGAAGGGGGTGAGGGGTGAGGGGGGTGAGAGGGAGGGCAAAGGAGGGTAAGGGGTGAGAGGGTGAGAGGGGACATGAGGAGGGTGAAGGTTTGAGAGGGGTGTGATGGGGAAGAGGAGGGAGGGGAGGAGGAGGGGGAAGGAAAAGAAAAAACGAGGAAGAAGGAACTGGAGAGGAGGGCTGAAGGGAGAGGGAGGTAAGAGACGAGTAAGGGGAGGGAGAGAGGGGGGTATGAGTGGAATGGAAGGGTGGAGGTAAGGGGGGAGGAAGGGGAACGGGGTGACGGAATTATAAAATGCCAAACCATGAAAACATTTAAATCAATACCAGTATGTGGGAGAAAAAACCTAGTGTTGATGCTGATGCCAAGTGTGTATGTTGCAGTGTTGTGACTGCTGGCGTTCCTGTAGGATGCTGGTGCAGATGGGTGGTGATGTGGGTGGGTGTAAGGGGTGGTGGGTGGGTGGGGTGGGTGGGGGTAGTGGGTTGTTGGGGTGGTAGTGATGATGTGGTGCGTTGGTGTGTACGAAGCCAGTGGTGCAGGTGGAGATGAGTGGGTGGGTGGGGTGGTGGTGTAGGTGGGTTGGTGGGTGGGTGGGATGGTGGTGTAGGTGTAAGGAACTGATTCAAGTAGGAGTGGCGTAGGATCCTGTATAAATGGTCTAGGATACTAACACAGGTGAGATAACTATCGTAGGATACTGTAAGTGGTGAAGGATATTGGTGACTGGTATAGGATGACTGGTATTACAGTGCTACGACATCCTAACCTAATAAACCCAAACCTAACCTAACCTAACCTAACCACCGGGGCTGAGTGAGTGTAATGCCGTGTGTACCTGACTGACTATATTAACATTCCTCGCTTCACGGGTTCATGAATACTAATTATATCCGTGTTGACGACTGTGTAATGAAGGCGCCCCTGGCTCATGAATTCACCCATATATCCACACGTTAAACTTTTCCATTTGGTTTGGTTAGGTTAGGTTAGGTAAGGTTAGGTAAGGTTTGGTTAGGTTAGGTAAGGTTAGGTTAGGTACCAATAGATCTCGGCCCTAAACCCAATCGTTAAATCAGTTTGGATTGGATTCACACCTATTAGGAATTGGGCCCATCTGACCTGACCTATTACACTATAGCAGTGGTCCCCAACCTTTTGTCGGCTCTGATCCACACTTATCATTGTAAATATAGTGGAGGGAGACACAACTTTGGATCTACAATAGAAAAACAAAGATCTCATATATACTCTAACAGTTATTTACAGTTTTACACATCTAACTGTTACCATTTACATATTTTTTTTACATTTACCCTTGGACGGGACGTGTGTATTTACCCTAGTGAGAAGGCTGGCTCTCTCTGGGCCTGGTCTGGGGTAAGTACACACGTCCTGTACAAGACAGACTCGGGACAAACCACCTCTTGTTCAACCTTATTACTGTACAACCCAGGTTGTACTGCTCCCCCATTATACTAATGTTTTTAGATTCCACTCTAATTTATATGTATATGTGTATGTGTATGTATGTCTGTGTATATGTACTATATATATATATATATATATATATATATATATATATATATATATATATATATATATATATATATATGTGTGTGTGTATATATATGTATATGTATGTGTATATGAATGTATAAATAAATAAACAAACAAAATAAAAATAAATAAATAAAGAAATAAATAATAAATAATAAAATAAATAAATATTGAAGTGATAACCGCGGTAACACTATAAGATGTACTTATTACCACCATGCTATTGTACAATTCCAGATGATACTAAATGTTACATAATACTTCCTTGAGATAAATGTATAGTATATATCAGGTGCCTACAAGAGAGCTCAGGTTCTCAACTGGCTCAGCCATGTTAATAGTGTTATTATTATCCACTCTGTATCTGTGTTTTTCTGGCTAAATAAACTGTTACAATTCAATTCAAACCATAGAGACACGAACCAGCCTCACCCCTCCTCCTCCCCTCATTGACACCCTTCCCAGCCTCCTCCCCCCCCCCCCCCCAACTCTTGGCCCTGTGTCAACAAATTATCGGCAACTTCACAAACATGTAAATCTTGCCTCAATGACCTTGTTAATTTGGCGATGTTTGACTATCGATGTGTGTGTGTGTGTGTGTGTGTTTGTTTTACCTGCCGTCAGCCATTAATGTCAGCGATGTCAACTACAAGATTTATTAGTGTCAGCAGTTGTTAGCAACAAAGATATTTCCAAAGCTCATAAGTTTCAATGTTAATGATATATAACTACAGATGTTTTGGTTGTGTAATGACACCTGTTGTAAGCACACCTGTAACACCTGTTGTAAGCACACCTGTAACACCTGTTGTAAGCACACCTGTAACACCTGTTGTAAGCACACCTGTAACACCTGTTGTAAGGACACTTGTAACACCTGTTGTAAGGACACTTGTAACACCTGTTGTAAGCACACCTGGAACATGCTCTGTTACCTGTCTATGAATCAGCTGGAGTTACCGTATTCCTGTCCAAATAAATTTCTTTCACAATGATTATATACTGTCTATTAATATGCTCAATCTGTCTGTCTGTCTGTCTGTCTGTCTGTTCATCTGTTTATTAACGCCCGGACGTCCACAAAATTCCACCGATCGTAATGCAATTTTCACAGTTGATCTGGCCGGACTTATTGGCAGCTGCACGTCAATATATTCTGGTCAAAATTGGTTGAGAGTAAAAAATTCACTTTATGAGCGACGTGTCATTAACATCTTCACTACGGGGACGCCATGTTAAATACTTTATTTGGTTCACGTCAGACGAACTTATTGATCTCAGAGGGGAGCCGTAAACAAAGTGATAATTTTACCTATATTTCTTGGTCAAAAATTTGTTGAACACTTAATATGATGTGAACATACGTAGGAACATACATATACACATCAATTATATACATATCCATACATACTCTTATATTTTACTGGTGGTAATTTATTATATCTGAGACCTTGACTATAAATAATAATAATAATAATAATAATAATAATAATAATAATAATAATAATAATAATAATAATAATAATAATAATAATAATAATAATCGTCATATTTCAATCCTCACAAACTTTTATACAAAAACTTTGCTAAACGTGACCAAAAAAAAAACCAGACAAAGGGTAAAGTTTGCTGTAAAAACTAAATACAAAAATATCTAGACAAAATGAGCCAATATGCTCCGCCATTAACTTGTCTGTTTTCTCGTACAATGTCTAGGGAATTAATCTCGTTAAATTAGTGTTATACTTCACAGACTAACAGACAGAGACGGAAAAAGACAGAGGAACAGCTAAATAGACAGAAAAACAAGTACTTTTTAACCCAGTTCTTTGCAGGAAAACGTGAAAACAGACAGACTGACAGAATAACATCGAGACAGACAGCTAAGCAGACAGAAACAAGCACTTAATACCTCCAGGTTTTAGCACACAGGGACATAAAACCCAACAACCACACTACTAACCCGAGCTGCATAACAAGGACAGATAAACAAATACCTAGTGAGGAGAATTGTCCCCACATTGTTTACACACATTCTATAAACCCCAGAAACAACTTAAAACTCCGTGACGGGAATCCAACCCTACCAGAAGAGGATTTGAATAAAGGGGTGGGGGATTTAAACCAATGTCTTATGAATGTGAACTAATATGAATGGGTTTTAAACATCTATTGTAATTATTTGGGATTTCTGGGGATTTAAAACGACAAGGGGGAGCTGGGGAGAGGACAAAAAGGGGATTCGAACCCAATTCTTCGGGATTAATTCTATATTAAGAGGATTTACTCCCAATTAGCGGCCATCACGGCCTCACACCTGACCCACCTGGGCGACATACCGCGTGTTTACAAGGCACTTCAGACCACCACCCATTAATTAACAGTCAGGTCAACGCTATATGGTCAGGTAAACAATAGGTTATTTAACATGCATTAAGTTAAATGTGTTAATAATAAGTTAATTTAAGGTACATGTGAAGGCTAGGTGACTATGTCAACAATGTGTTAATTAAAATGAAAGCTCCAGCTACAATTAACAATAGGCTAATTAACTTAGACGAGGGCTAAATGACCATGTTAATAAGTTAATCAACAGAAAGGTGGAGCATAACTTACCGTGCTAACAATAAACATGAGAGCCAAGACCTTCAGTACTGTTGAAGGATGAACAGTGTGGTGTAGGAAGAACAGTGTTTCAGGGTGTTCGGTAGTCAGGGGTGAGAGTGATATTGTTCTGAAGAAACTCTCAGTGCTAACTATGAAAGATATTTTATGGCGTGGCAAATTAAGTAACATGTAGGACAACGTGCCCCCCCCCCCCTCTCACAAGAAACTCACATGTAGAGCGGAGGAAGACTGGTCGGGTCATCTCAGGTGACCAGGACCCGGGGCCCCTTAGAGGCGTCCTGCGACATGTCGACTCCCGGAATTTCTTGAGTTCCCTCCTGTTGCCTCGGCGAGTGAACCTAGGGGAGCTGGAGGGGGAGGAGTAGGGTAGGAACTCGTCCTCCTCCTCGATGATCTTGTGGACCAGTGGGTGGACGCCGGGCTCGTCCAGGGAGCCATACCTCCGGGCGAAGTCCTTCGCCTTGTCCACCGGGAAGAATATCTCGCTGTGTTGCATCCTGGTACGTGGAGACGCTGAGTGCCTCGGCTGCTTTGTGTTTCTCGGTCACTGTGTTTCTCCCTTCCTCACTTTATCATCATTCTCACTGTGTTATTGCTTCACCTCCTTCATCATCTTTACCACTAGTTTACTGCCTCACCTCCTTCATCATCCTCTGTTACCGCCTTCTCTCACCTCCTCATCTTTATCACTGTCTCACTTTTCTTCACTGTTATTTTCATATGTCTGTTTTTTTCCTAACACCTACTTCCTTATCTCGTGTTCCTTCAAGTCATTATTAGTTTGAGGTCAACAGTCCTCACTCAGGCACTACATTTCGTCATCTAATAAAATCAATGTTTGTTCTCATATCCTTGCCTCAGTTTCCTGTCAACACATCGTATATAAACACTGCGTGAGGTCCCTGGAGCGGCCCCCGGCACCACCAGACAGCATCGTGGTGATCCGTCACTTGAGGGAGCGAGGCGGCGGGGAAGACCTACTAGTGAGGGCAGTAGACAGTGTGGGCGGTGAGTATTATTAAGTTCCCCTACAATAGAGTTATGACCTTAGATGACCACAAGGGTGACTAAGACTGGGTCACTCTAGTATATTTTCTCAAGTGGGTCCGTGAATATACGTCAAGTCATGTCGTGAGTCAGTCAGTCAGTCAGAATAGGCAATATCTGGACTTCTATCGTAAGCAGACATCATTTTCTACTCCATAAAAAATAATAATAATTTGTCTTTGTAAATACGACACAAACACACTTAGAAAAAAACGTTAAATTACATCTTTACCCAAATTAGTAAAGAAAAAGAATTAATGTCTACAAATGTTAAAGACAGACACCCTATACTCTCTCAAGCCGGTAAGAACGCCCACCCCGCCCACACACCACTACACCACACTGCTACACAAAACCACAGCCAAAAATGTCATAGGCGGCAAATGGAACTCCTGGAGGTGGTGTCCTCACTAAGGGGCCCCCCGACGTTTTTCCATCTCTGACAATGAAGAAGATCCCAGAGCCACCGAGCGAGCGTGACACGTAAACAAGGTTAGCCAAGGCGCGCATGACTGTGGGGCGGAGGGTAAAACCATTCACCTGGTCAGCCCTGGTTGGGTAGTTGGTGGGGGAAGGTTGGGGGGGGGGAGGAGATAACCAGTTGGTGGAGAACGTGGTGGTGGTGATGGTGGTGATAGAGAAGGTGGTGGTGGCGATAGAGAAGGTGGTGGTGATGGTGAAGATTATTGTTGAGGTAATGATGAAGGTGAAGGTGGTATGAGTCACTCGTTTGAGAATAATTGGATTATGATAGAGATCTTCTGAACAGCTGAGTACCCTCCCCCCCTCCCTCCCTGATCCTCTTTCACAGTCAATAAAAGACTCTCTCTCTCTCTCTCTCTCTCACTATAACGAGGCGGACACCATTTCACAAGGATCAGTCACACTCACCACACATCCAACGCCTTCACACTGTAACTCACGGGCATCACAATACACACACATAACACTGTACTTTAAACACCTAACACTGTACCCTTTGAAACACCTAACACTGTACCTTCAGAAATACAAACACTGTGGGAGGAGGTACAGTATCCAAATCCCTCACCCAAGGAAAGACAGTCTCCTATAGAGGTTCTGATCCCATATAATAAGAGGCTGGAGACAATTGATAGAGGGTCTGAATATGCGTTTATAGTGGCGGGAAAATATTGGTCGGGGAGGAGCAGTATATTGTCTCCTCTTCATTCCTCTTCTTCCTCATTCTCTTCCTGTATCTCCTCCTCCTCCTCTTCCATCTCCCACTACTTCTCCTTCACCTCCTCCTCCTCTTTTTCTTATTTCTCCTCCTCCTCCTCCTCTTCTTCTTCTTACACCTCCTCTTCCCCTTCCTCCATCTCCCACTTCTTCTCCTCCTCCCCTTCCTTCTCACCCACTCCTCTTCTACCCATTCCTCCTCCTCTTCCTCTTCTACCCATTTCTCCACCTTCTCATCTTCCTCTTCCTCTCCTACTCCCCCTCCTTCTCACCCACGCCTCTTCCACCCATTCTTCCTCCTCGTCCTCTCTCTCTTTTCCTCCTCCCCCTCTCTTCTCCTCCCCCACAACACATTACTGACGAGACTTACTGGGTGTGGTTCCTTCCGGGAAAATTTTTTGCCAAGCGTTTTATTTTTTGTATTAATGTTTAACTTATTAATTTTCTTCTAATTTTCTATCTTATTTAATTTTGTTTTAAATTTTATTATTTTATGTTTGATTTATTTATAATTATATTTTATTATCGTATTGTATTATCTATTTTATTATTTTATATTCCTATATTTTATTTTATTTTTCTATTTTATTTTAGTTTAAATTCTATCGCAGGTAAGACGCCAATTACCGAGATGAAACTTTAATTTATTTTCATTAATTAGCACCAAATATCTTCTCATCTGGCCGTCATATCACTCTTATTCTCAATGACTAATTTATTGGAAATTTATTCATTATCTAAAAAAATAATTATCATGGGTTATATTTTTCTTAATTAAATATGTTGTTTACTATGAGGATTTTTTATTTAAATTATATATGTCTAATAATAATAATAATAATGATAATAATAATAATAATAATAATAATAATAATAATAATAATAATAATAATAATAATAATAATAATAATAATAATAATAATAATAATAATAATAATAATAATAATAAACCCTATACCGTCAACACAAAACAAAACATTAAACTTTACAAGAAAACAAAATAACAAAAGGTGATCACTCATAAATTAGACTCATTACCACATAAATCACTCAAAAGACGCAGGAGATTCTGATTATTAATTTGACATAAATGGCCAGTAATTTGGGCCAGAGGAACCAGGGGGGATGGACCAGGGGGGATGGACCAGGGGGGATGAACCAGAGGGGGGGATGGACCAGGGGTGATGGACCAGGGGTGAACCAGACAGAACCAAGGGGAGTGAACCAGGTAAGACCAGGCTTCACTTTTAAGGTTTTTGAAGGTTTTAATATGTAAATTTATTCAGATAAGAAATTCATGCTTCAGTTGATAGTATTTTCTCCTTTTCTTATCAATTTAATAACTAATGGTGTAATATGGTGATGATTTAATAGTGATTATAGTGAAAAAGATTATCTTTTCATAGGCTTATTTAGGCCTACTACAACTACTACCACCACCACCAGTTTGCCACAATCATTTACTACCACAACCAATTACTATTACCCCTCGTTACTATTACTACTACTACCACCACTTACTCTTACCACTACTAGCAGCACTTACTATTACTACTACTACCACCACTTACTATTACTACTACCACCACTTACTATTACTACTACTACCACCACTTACTATTACTACTACTACCACCACTTACTATTACTACTACTACCACTTACTATTACTACTACTACCACCACTTACACAGATCTGCACTAATGCATTTCTAAGTGTCTCTAAAATTTACCACCTTACCCCTGGCTCGTGCAAGGTCTGGGTACACTGTATTATGTATGTGAGTATATTTTAGTTTCCTAGTGTGTGTGTGTGTTTTATTGGACACACACACACACACACACACACTCAACACGAGCTGGTTCCAACCGGTGTGAACTAACCTACTCTCTCTTTCCTGGGTTGAGTCACTATCAACCACCCCTCTACAACCACCAACACAACACCTCGTACCACCCCCTACAACCACCATCACCTACCACCCTTACAACCACCACCACTTACCACCCTTACAACCACCACCACCACCTATCACCCTTACAACCACCACCACCACCTACCACCCCTATACCACCACCACCTATCACCCCTTACAACCACCACACCAACCTACCACCCTTACAACCACCACCATCTTACCACCCTTACAACCACCACCACCTACAACCACCTACAACCACCACCACTACCCCCCCAACCTCTCCATCACCTACCAGCCCCTATTACCAACATCTCACCACCTACCACAACTACCAGCCTCTACTAGTGTCTGGCCCACAGGTAAAGGGGACAGCAGGTAAATATTTGTCACCTTGTGTAAACCGCTGACTGCTGGGAGTCGAGTCTTACTGCGGAGAGGTAGCCTGAGTTTACAGTTTGGAGCGCGTGCGTTCAGGTGTCCGTGAGAGTGCGTTCTAATCCTTTTGTGAGAGAGAGAGTTAGTTTTACTGCGAGAGGAGAAAGAGAAAGCGAAGGAATTTTACAGTGAGGCAGAGAGAAATAAATGAAAAGAGAAAGAGGGAGAGAAAATTGTACAAAAAGAGAGAGAGAGAGAGAAGGTTGGCTGGTCAGTGAGATAGTGTCAAGCAGTGAGTTATATTGCTCCTGAACTGTCATCTAATGGGGAGACGGGGAGAGCAAAAAGTGGGGAGGAGGGGGCAGGAATATGAAGAAGGGTGGGAGGAAGAGGGAAGGCAGAAAAGGAGGAGGAGGAGGAGGAGGAGGAGGAGGAAGAAGAGGGAAAGGTATAAAATGAGGAGGAGGAGGAAAATGAAGAGGAGGAGGAAAATGAAGAATGAGTAAAAAAATTGAGAAAGATCACCAGATAATAAAGATGATGAGAGAAAGACGAAAGGAGAGAATGGTGGGCAGAAAAGGTCTATGGTAGGACACACACACACACACACACACACACACAAACTAAAACAAGATATTATCGGGCTGGGTAGTACCTGTATACACCCAAACACACACACACACACACACACACACACACACAGATAAACATACACACAGACATACTATACATGAATTCCTGGTACACAAACTAACACTCGTAAACATGACTTCCATAAACAGGTATTAATAGCAGCCAATGAAAACGTCTGGGCCAGATTTTGGTAGCCCTTGCCTACTGCCCCAGACGTTGGTAGCCCTTGCCTACTGCCCCAGAGGTTGGTAGCCCTTGCCTACTGCCCCAGAGGTTGGTAGCCCTTGCCTACTGCCCCAGAGGTTGGTAGCCCTTGCCTACTGCCCCAGAGGTTGGTAGCCTTGCCTACCCCAGAGGTTGGTAGCCCTTGCCTACTGCCCCAGAGGTTGGTAGCCTGCCTACTGCCCAGAGGGTTGGTAGCCCTTGCCCACTGCCCCAGAGGTTGGTAGCCCTTGCCTGCTGCCCCCAGAGGTTGTTGTGCCTGCCTACTGCCCAGAGGTTGTTAGCCCTTGCTTTTCCCCAGATTTTGGTAGCCCTTGCCCTGCCCCAGATTTTGGTAGCCCTTGCATACTGCCCCAGAGGTTGGTAGCCCTTGTCCACTGCCCCAGGGTTGGTGCCACTTGCCCACTGCCCCAGGGGGTCAGTGGCCTGTCCTGCCCCAGGGGTTGGTGTGCTGCCCACTGCCCCCAGGGTTGGTAGCCCGCCCCACTGCCCCAGGGTTGGTAGCCCTTGCCTACCACCCCAGAGGTTGGTCGCCCTTGCCTACTGCCCCAGAGGGTTGGTAGCCCTTGCCTGCCCCAGAGGTTGGTGGCCCTTGCCACTGCCCCAGGGTTGGTAGCCACTTGCTACTG